GTACTTGTTCACATGCTGTCTTCCCCACCTCCACACACCCCCCCCTCCACCTGGGAGCTCCTAAGAGCAGGGACGGTGCCTGGCACATAGCATGCACTTCCTCAGTGTTTGTTGACTGACTGTGCATGGCCCTGGGTTGTTGGTTAGGTAAAGGCATCAGTGCCACACTCATCAAACAGCAGATGAGCCCACGCTGGAGCGGGGGGTAGTGGACACACCAGATGACAGAGCTTGAAGCTAAAAAGGAGACAATAGGTCAAATTCTGGGGGATAAATGGCCTACACTTGGGTTCCAAAGTCACCTTCAATAGGTATAGGATAGTGGGAGTCCTGACTGGACAGACAGCTGCTTGTCTGGAAGAGACTGGCAGTCCTAGTGGACCAGAATCTCACTCACACACTAGTGTGTTAAGGCAGACAAAACCTGGCGCGCTGTGGGGCTGCATTCAAGACTAAAGAGGTGAGGCCCCATCAGGCCTCCTCTGGAGCACAGTGGTCTGAGAAGGGCTTTGAATGGGCTGGAGGGTGTCCAGAGGAGGGCAGGCAAGAGGGGGAAGGACCTGGGGTTCATGCCATGGGAGGCTCAAGGGAGGGACCCGGGGGATGCTTAACCTGGAAAGAACGTTCAGGGAGGACCCAGGGGATGCCTGGCTCCAAGTATTTGAGAGGCTGTCATGGAGGAGGGTCAGCCTTGCTCTGCTTGGCCCAGAGGACAGGGCCAGGAGCAAAGGGAGAAGGCCACAGAGAGGCCGACTGAGCTTGGTGGTCTAGAAGAGTTTTCCAGTGATGAGAGCCATCCCTGAGTGGTACGGGCTGCCTTGAGAGGTAGTGATCTCCCTGTCCTTGGAGGTCTGCAAGTAGAGGCCCCTTGTTTCTGGAATGGAGAGGGGGGCAGTCTTATTCCCACTGAGCTCCCTTCCTATGATAAGATTTTGTGATGGGGGAAACTGAGGCTCAGATTGAGAAAGTGACCTGATGTAGCCCCATGGCTGATGAGTGATCAGTTTGAAACTTTGACCTGAAGTCTCTATTGAGTATTAGTTTGGCTCCCTTTGCCTTGACCTCCTGGGCCCCTGGGCTCTGGTAGTCCCTGAGCATTGTACCATTCCCTCCCCTTGAGACCACCCCTCTTTGCCCGTCACCTGGCAGCTTGCTTGAGACAGAAGTGTCAGCTGGCCTTCAGGAGGGCCACCACTGTCACTTGGCCCAGGGCTTCCTCCATGGGGGATGTGCCTCCGTCCACTTGCCACTTTGGGGCTGGCTGGCAGATTCCTGTCCCATTCTCAGATGCCAGGGTGGCCCCCACCAGCCCCAGCAGGATGGCCATGGCTAGGCCTGGGGGACCCATCCCTGCCATCTGCCTGGAGAACAAAGGTGACAGAGGTCAGGAGGGACTGGGAAAGAGACAGCCTCTCTGTTCTCAGTCATTCATTCATTCATTCAGTAAACAATAATTAAGCACCTACTGGCTACAAGGCTCTAGGCAAAGATTAAGAAATGGCTCAGGCCTGCCCTCAAGAAGCTTACATTCTAGCAGTAGCTTCTTCCCCTCTGGGAGGGCAGGGTGATAAGGAAGCCGAGCCAAAGGACCGAGGTTGAAATTATGGCTTTTCTTCTTGTGTGACCTCAGACAGACCTTCTCCCCATTCTGGGCCTCGGTTTCCTTATCTATAAAATGAGAGAGCTGGATTTGGTTTCTATGGTTGTGTCCAGCTCCAAACACAATGTTAAGTCCTGTGCAGCTGGATAAAACAGAAGATCATGGAATACAACCCCTTCATTTTCAAAGGGGTAAAGTGAGGCCCAGGGTGGCTAGGTGGTGCAGTGGATAGAGTGCCAGGCCTGGAATCAGAAGGATCTGAGTTCAAATCCAGCCTCAAACACTTGCTAGCTATGTGACCCTGGGCAAGTCACTTCATCCTATTTGCCTCAGTTTCCTCATCTGTAAAATGAGCTGGAGAAGGAAATGGCAAACCACTCCAGTATCTTTGCCAAGAAAACCCCAAGTGGGGTCATGAAGAGTTGGACACAACTGAAATGCCTGAACAATAACTGAAAAAGGGAAGCCCAAAGTCATACAGGAGATTAATGGCAGAACTGGGATTAAAATCCAGGTCCCATGACCCTTTAGTCCAGGGCTTTTCCCACTCAATAGCACTGACTCACTTGTGCCTGAGTGGGCTCAGATTTGGTGGCCTCAGACAGTAGGGCTGCCAGCTCCCCAACTGCCCCAGAGCTGGCGTAGGGCTTGGGCCGTGCCGCCTGCCTTGATGGGCCTGCCTTGGCCCCAGGAACGCTCAGATTCTCCTGCTACAGGTCATGGGTAGCAATGGGGAGAGAGAAGATGGAGAAGCCTTGGCAGTCTGGTACAGATGACCACTAGGCACAGAGAAGGAATGTTGCTTCCTGGTCCCTTTCCCCTGGCATCAGGGCAGGCTCCAGAGACTCATAATGGGAGACTGTGGGAGGAAGACAAAGGTTTCTCTGTCCCGAGGCCAGGGCCAGCTTCTCTGGCCTTCCTAAGTGTCCTTGTTTTCTCTAGCTTTGAAGATGAAAATCCCAGCTGCCTTCTGAACCCAGAGAACAGAAAGAAGGGGAGGCGGGGATAAAAGAGGAGAGAGGGAAAGATCAGAAGGACGATGAGAGAAGAAGAAGGAGGCAGGGGAATGAGGAAGGAGAGGGGAATGAGGAAGGCAGGGGGAGAGAAGGCTGTATTGGAGCCGAGCTTGAAGGGAACGAGTGACTTGGAGAGACCAAATGAGGGAGACTTTTCAGGCAACAGGTCAGCCAGGGCTAAGGCAAGGGGTGGCAGAAGGAGTTGTGTGTGGGAAAGAGTAAGATTTGTCTGGCTGGACCATGTATTGTATGGACAGGAATAAACTGCACTAAGTCTGGAGAGGCAGGGAGGGACCAGAGGGGTTAACATTCGATTCTAGAGGGGAGAAGGAGCCCCTGGGTACTGGGGGAGGCGAAGGACAGAATCATGCTAGGGTTTTAGGAAGATCTCTTGGACAGCTGAGTGGGGCTGGAGGGGGTATCGAGGGGATGGGGAGGCCAGTGAGGAGGCCAGAGTCATAGTCTGGGTGAGAGGGATGAGGGCCTGTACCGGGGGGATGTCCGCCTGAGTGGAGAGAAGTGGACAGATCATAGGATTAGAGATTTGCATGGGGCAGATACTTGCTCTCCAGTCCAATCCCTTCTTCCTACAGATGAGGAAACTGAGGTTCAGATGTTGGAGAGGGAGAAAGGACACGGTCCCTTCAACAGAAATGGGAGATGGGCTGGTTCTGGAGTCTGAGGCCCTAGGTTCTAGTACCAAATCTACTAGTTACTCTCTCTGGGACCTGGAAGAAGGCCCTTTCCTCTCTCCCGCCTCAGTTTCCTCCACTGTAAAGTGAGGGATTTGCACTTGGGTCCATTTCAACTTTGGAGTCTCTGATCCTATGAAATCCACCCTGGAGAGTATGGAATTCTCCCCCACAGTTTTTGTCCCAGCTCATCCGCCAACTGTTTGTTTATTTTTATTCTGAACTCAGTTTTATTCAAACATCAGATGCAACAGCATTTCCACACACACAGCCAGACAGAAGAAGAGAGTTTGACATGAAGCAGAGTCTCTTTGTTATGTGCGGCTTGTCTTCGAAAAAAATGAATTCAACGTAGACATTAAACAAGTAAATTGGAGAAGAATGGAGAGGGATGAGAGAAAGGAAGGAAAAGGAAGGAAGAGAAAGCAGGGGGGTGTATGTGTGTGCATGTGTATGTATGTGTATACATGTACATGCATTTACATGCACATGGGCATAAATGTATGTGTATCTGTATGGGTGTGCATGTATATATGTGTGTGTTGTGCATGTGTATCTATGTATATGCATGCATGGTACACGTGTGTGTGGTGGTGTATTGTGCGTGCGTGTGTATGCATATGTATATATGTATTGCGGCAGTGTGTGTTTTGTGCGTGATGCACATATGTACATGCATGCGTGCACTGTGTACGTGCGTGCATACATGTGTTTGTGAGGAGGATGAAGCTGCTGAGTCAGGATGGCTTTGCATGCAATGAGACACCTGGGCCCCCCAGTTCAAAGATGCTGAGACAGAACCGTTGTGAGGAGGTGGTGGGCCAGGGCCAGCTGCCCGCCCTTGGTCGGGTAGGGAGGATTTCTGAAGCCTGAGGGCAGAGCACACAGCTTTCCTTTAAATCTCGATGGCCTCCGAGAGCAGGGCAGGGAGACCCGCCTTTCACCGTTGCTCCCAGGAATGCCAGCCGAGCAGACTTCCAAACCACCCCCAGGCCTGGAGCGCCAGCTCGCCTCAGCCTGGCACCCCCTCTGCTGCCAGTTCCCCTGGTCCTTGGAGCCCTCTCAGATCCCTCCCTGAACCTGGACCCCGGGTGACACAGGTGTGTCTAGCCACAGGCCCCCGGCCTCCTCCTGGGTGAGCTTGACTCATCTGGTGAGGCTGAAAGCTCTGCACCGCCCGGTTGTCATTGCCGTTCAGTCATGTCTGCCTGACCCTGTGGACCATAACAAGCCAATACTGGCCAGGAGATTTCTTGGCAAACAGTACTGGAGTGGTTTGCCATTTCCTTCTCCAGTGGATTGAGGCAGAGGTTAAGTGATTTGCCCAGGGTCACACAGCTAGTAAGTGTCAAGTGTTTGGTCTGAGATCAGATTTGAACTCAGGTCCTCCTGACTTCAGGGCCGGTGCTCTATCCACAGTGCCACCTAGCTGCCCCTAAGACCTGACTCTTCATCACCTTAGATACTTACTATTAACCCTGGATAAATCATTCTATCTTTCTCAGCCTCTGTTTTTTTCATCTGTGAAATGGATTAAAGATCACATGTACTTCCCAAGGTAGTTGTTAGGACCAAATAGGATAACATGTAAACATTATATGTTGTTGTTAAGCCACGACTCCATTTGGGGTTTCCTTGGCAGATACTGGAAAGGTTTGCCATTTCCTTCTCCAGCTCATTTTACAGCTGAGGAAACTGAGGCAAACAGTGAAGAGACTTGACCAGGATCACACAGCTAGTAAGTGTCTGAGGCTGGATTTGAACTCAGGTCCTCCATCGGGCAGCTAGGTGACACAGTAGATAGAGCACTGGCTGTGGGATCAGGAGGACCTGAGTTCAAATGCAGCCTCAGACACATAACATTCACTAGCTGTGTGACTTTGGACAAGTCACTTAACCCTAATTTCCTCACACACAAAAAAAGTTCCTAATGAACTCAGGTCCTCCTGACTCTAGGGCTGGCACTCTATCCACTGTGCCACCTAGCTGCCCATCACCTTCTCTGCTTCTACATAATTACAGCTGAATAGTCCTGGAGGAAGTCACCACCCCTGGCTACAGGGGTCCAAGACAAATTTGTGCCATCCAGACTCAAGTGGACCTTCTGGGTGAATCCCTTTTCTCCTTCCTTGGCTATGGGTCTCTGCTCGACCTTCCACTCACCTAGAACTGCTGTCTAAGGCTGGTTTCTTAATCACCAGACCTCATCCTTCGTGACCTCTCTCCTGCCACCACCACCTTCCCCCCTCCCCCCGGACACTGTCTCCTTGATGGGTTCTTGTGACGCCCTCCCTCCGGGTTCTCCTCCTACCTCTCTGGCTGCTCCTTCTCAGTCTCCCTTGGCTGGGTCTTCATCCAGGTCACATCTAACTGTGGGCATCCCTCGGGACTCTGTCCTGGACACCCCCTTGCCCTCTCTGCTGCTTCTTGGTGACCTCATCTGCTCCCCTGAAGGATTCCAAATCCACACACCCAGCCCCAGTCTCTCTCCTGAGCTTCATTCCCATATCACCTAGGGACATTTTGGATGGCATTTCCCGGAGGTATCTCAAACTCAACACGTCCAAAACAGAACTCAATTCTCTTCCCCCCCCCGCCCCAAATACTCCCCTCTTCTCCACTTCCCAATTTTTTGGATGGTCCCCCAGGCTCAGAGCTTCAGCGGCATCCTCAACTCCTCCTTTTCTCACCTCAAACAGACCATCAGTTACCAAACAGTGTCACTTCCATCTCTACAGCATCTCATACGCGCCTCTCTGTCACCCCTCACCAAGTCCCTACTCTATTCCCTCTCCCCTGAACTACTGCAGACCAATAGCCTTCTAACTGAACTCTTCCCACTCCAAACTAGCCACCACACATTGCCAAGATAATTTTCCTAATGCCACATTCCTCCCTTTCTCAAGAAACTTCACTGGCTCCCTTTTACCTCAAACTCCTCTGTTTGGCACTTCAAACCAAGTCTGGCTCCATTGACCTCTCTAGACATGATGCCTTCCCCTCCGTGAGGTTTCTTCGTGTCTCTGGCACTTGGCAGTGTCTGGCACACAGTAAGTGTTTAATAAATGCTTGTTGGTTGGTTGGCTGACTTGAGATTCCTGCCTTTCACACACTGTGGTCCTGCAGACTCAGCCCTCCATCTCCTAAAACTGTGCCCATGTGTGGGCTGTTCTCCACATGCCTGAGATGCTTTCTTCTTCTCTACCTCTTGGAAAGCTTAGCTCAGGGGCTACTTGATGGGGCAGCTGGGCAGTCTGGTGGATAGAGGAGTCAAGAGGACCCGAGTTCAAATCCAGTCTCAGACACTTATTAGCTGTGTGACCCTGGGCAAGTCACTCCACCCTGTTTGCCTCAGTTTCCTCATCTGTAAGATGAGCTGGAGAAGGAATGGCAAACCATTCCAGTGTCTCTGCCAAGGAAACCCCAAATGGAGCCATGGAGAGTCAGGCACTACTGAAACAACTCGATAACAACACCATTTCCTGCATGAGTTCTTTCCTGATCTCAATTTCTCAATTGTCAGCTCTTCTCTCTCCCCCTCCTCCCTCCCTCTCTCTCTCCCTCTCTCTCTCTCTCTCCCTCCCTCCTCCCTCTCTCTCTCCCTCCCTCCT